GCACAAACCCCGCCCCCTGTGGGCGGAGTCCGGCCCCGCCACCCACCACAAGTGTTCCCATTCTGCCGCCTTTACTCCTACCAAATTTGAACTCTGTAGGTCTATGAGAACAGGATTTATAATTTTCTGCGCGAACTCCACCCCCTGTGGGTGGAGCCCAGTCCTGGCACCCATCATAAGCGTTCCCATCCTATCTGGGGTACTAACACCAAATTTGAATTTCCTAGGACCACGGAGAAAGGAATTATGAGTTTCCCAAAAACCCCGCCCCCTGTGGGCGAGGTCTGGTCCTGCTACCGCCATAAGCGTTCCCATCCTATCTGGGATACTCCTACCGAATTTGGACGCTCTAAGTCCACGGGGACTGGAGTTATGAGTTTATCACAAACCCCGCCCCCTGTGGGCGGAGTCTGGACTGCCACCACCATAAGCGTTCCCATCCTATCTGGGGTACTCCTACCGAATTTAAACTCTCTAGGTCTATAGGAACAAGATTTATAAGTTTCTGCGCGAACTCGCATATTCCTCCCTACCCAACAGAATTTGAATGCAGAGCAGCAATGTCCACATAACTAGGGGGAATGCGTTTGTAGACTAGGCTGAAAGCAAGTTTGTTACATCTGCAGTTATTCGCACCTTATGTGCGTTTTCTCCTCTACTATGTCTGGCATTATATTTACGGCAGACGGTCGGTCGACCCCTCGAAGGGCTGTAAACAAGGAGAGACAAGATCAAAAACCATTTGTACAAGCCCCTGGTTGTTTGATTTTTGATGTTGTTCTTCTTTGTTTTCAGCCCCTCGACTGACTGTCTGCCACCCTCCTCCCCCCTAGCACCGCCTCGTGGCACGCCGGCCGGCGGACTATGAAAGCAGACAACTCCTTTCCTACTAGATCTTATCATGCGAAATTTCCATATATGTAGCATGATTGTGGTGTGAATATTTACCACTATTAACCTGCAGTCTGATCACGTTCCAGATATCCCAGAAAGCTTGAAATAAAAACCAAGTGAAAGTATAGGCGTTTCTAGGATTCTTTCCTTTTTGCCATGTTCAAAGTGTACGAACGCTAATGCCAGACATAGTAGAGGAGAAAACGCACATAAGGTGCGAATAACTGCAGATGTAACAAACTTGCTTTCAGCATAGTCTACAAACGCCTTCCCTCTAGTTATGTGGACATTGCTGCTCTGCATTCAAATTCTGTTGGGTAGGGAGGAATATGCTTCAGTCAAACATCAAAATTTCATGCGATTTGCTACGCCAAGAAAAAAAGTTACGGTCGAAAAAGCGCTTGGCCGAATACTTTTGAGCGCTACTGTACAGGTGTACCAAAATTATTGGCGCCGATTTGTAGCAATATATTTGAAACTTCTCTGCTCCAAAGGACGATGGAATTAGGTAACACTATGTGTTACGACATGCTACAGTCGCATTTCACAATTACCCCACAAGCGCGGATAAGGCCTAAAGTTTGCTCTCGACTTGATCGCATGTGGCACGCAGGTATCCTTCTCCATTTCTTCCTTGCCGTTCCTCAGCCTTCGCACTCTAGAACGCCAAACTGGGATTGCAAACTCAACAGGTCCTCTCCTAATCAGGGACCATTCGTAGGAATCAAGTGAGTCAAGTTCTGGAAAATAGGATGACCACTCCTCTTCACCAATGAAGTCGGGCAGCTGTCGTAGGCACCACCGCGGGCAAGCTTGGCTTTGTGCGCTGTAGTAGCGTCCTGTTGGAAGGACCATAAGATGTTTCTGAAAACGTAGTCGGAGCACTGCTTCATTACTTTCATCAATAAGCTGTTTGAACACTGGACTTGGTCAATTTTCACGCCTGCACCGAAGAAACCACGAGGGCTTACCCTTACCAGTGATTTCCTCGAAAAACGTTTCATTGTTCTTACAGCAACCTTTTTGTGAGAGATTGCACGCTCGATGTTTTTTTCTGGAATGCGACTGTTTGGCCTGTTGAGGGATAGTTTTATCGTAAAAAATTTTTTGGCCAGAGAAAACGATGAAGGGTTGCGTGTCAGCATCCAAGTGGGTCTGCGACTTCCTGCATTTTTGGCCCTGCAGCGTCTGTTCAGATCGGAATTGAGGCGAAATATCTGCATACGATAGGAATAGCAGTGGAGCTTCTGCATGACATTCTTTCATCGCGACAACTTCGATAAGTCGTGCCCGTTGATTTCCTTTTGATGATTCATCCAGGATCCCGATCGATTCGCAGACGGACCACTATAACAGTCCTATCTATAGAAACATCGGCCTTTCTACCTTTTCTGGTTTGTCTCTGATTCAATCTTCTTCTCTATATCGTTTAATAGCCTTCTATACGGGTATTATACAAATCCCAAGGAATTCCATAATGCCCTTCCACCTCTCGTGTGTCAGTGATTGCAAGTGGCATTGAATGAGCCTTCTCCATCTAAAAAATATTGCGAGTTCCACATCAGCAACCATGCATATTGCAAGGAGACCTTCTTATGGAATTAATTTATAACAGGTAATGTGAATTTGATAAATTATTTCTACCTCAGAAGTTTCTGAGTTTTGGCGCCAATAATTTGGGGACACCTTGCATATAAACTGGCAGACCATACTCAAGCCATACCCCTAGTTTTTTTTTGGGATTCTAGCCTTGAATTAGTCTGCTGAAATGATGCTAGCATTGAATTCACATACAATGGTCGCACCATTTAACGATTCACATCATTATAAGAAATCAAACTAACCGCTTCGAGCGATTCTTCCTTCGTTAGGAATGAAATCATTTCATCTGTAAGATCCATTACTTCATGAAGACCACTTTCCACATCAGAATGATCAACCTGAATGCGATTGTGCACCAAGTAGTTTCTGCTTTCATAATGTTCCCGTTTCGACATGCCATGAATATTCTTCAATATTTTGTTATTACTGCTTCAGAAAAATCAGAAAATATATCCTGACTACAAATAAAGCGCTCGCGTCTGCCTGTCTGTCACGAAATTCGATACTACCTTAGCGAACACCTAGTGAAGTCGGGTCAAGTTCGAAAGAGGTGAGCACAGGCAAGGCCAACAGAGCACATGTAAGCTCAGCGGACCTCTGCCCACAGTGGGCGAGAAATGCACAGGACTGGGCGGTGCCTTAGGCAAAACTTTTTCATTCGGTCTTATAACAGTCCAAACACCAGGAAAAAAATGAGCAAAGGGTAGGGGTGTGTTGTGGGCGCTGAGACTGAAGGTTTCGGTGGACCCTTTTATAAACACCTCGCGGTGGTCCTGTTTAATTGTAATACGATTTAAGACGGAAACGAAGAGTGAGTCGAGTAATATTTATTATGATCGCACGTAGTAGATAGCGAGTAATGAGCAAGTGCGTATTAAGCGTGAGCCTTAGCCCAGGCGGTCCGCCCCCGCCAGATGAGGTCGTGATGGAATCAACGCCTGCGATACGCAGGCGTAATACTTTGGCGGGGCGGCTTGAAGTATGACTGCTTGTTGAATTGTGGAGACTGGTTGATGAGAGCTGCATGATGGAACTGTAGACTGCTTGTTGAAGTAATGTAGACTGGTTGAAGGGATGACTGCTCGTTGGGTGGTGTAGACTGCTGGTGACGATCCAGCCTCAGAGGCGGTGTCGCTTATAAGGCTGTTGTGTTTGCCTGTGTTGGTGACAGAGCAGCAAGTTGTGATCGAGACCACAATTGCTGCACTTCACCTCGCATGCGTCTTCATGCCCTGGTTTCAGGCATTTCAGACAAAGCTGCAGTTTTGCAGCTTGGGCTGTACGTGTTCATAAATGATATTGAGGCTATATACAGGTATGTATCGGTGTGATCGAAAGAATGAGAATATCGATAATACAGTCGTGTTGACGCCAGTTTGTAAACCCGCGCTGAATACGGACGAGTAATCACTCCGCGTCAATGAATAGGGTCACCATTTACGTCTGGAAAGAGATTATGAGCACGCGATTTCGATGCTCTGGGCAAGACTTCTACAGTTTTTGCGCAACCGTTCTTGCCGATTCGCTTCTTTTGCACTCTGTAGGCGGCTTTTCACTAGTTATTTTCGATATTTCTCCGTCAGTGCAGGGTTTCTCAGATACACTGCGAATCTCGAGAGGGTAAATTTTGTTTAATGGTCTTTGAATGAGCCTGTGATTAAGCATAAATATATTTGCTGATCTTACGAGACTGTCAGTCAAAGTAATTATCTTAGTTATTCTGTCATAGGGCCAGTTGCTCCTGGGTATGAGGTTTTGCTCTATTAATACGACCTCTCCAGGGTCGGGACAAGACCTTGTGAAGTGGCGAGGTTGCTTTAAATGTTGTTTTTGCACCTCTCTTGGTAGTGTGAGGTATTCGTACCTCCAACATACCCAAAATTTGTCTGAAATTTCTTCTGAAAAATGCATTGCATTCACAGCCTGTTTCTTTGATTGAATAATATCAAGCTCATAGGGTAGATAACTAATGTTCTCAAAATTTCCTCTTTCCGGAAAGAGAAACTTCATATTCGATCGAAGATTATCTACTGGACATGGAGGAACTGATGTGAGGTCGTCTAGACATTCCTCTTTTGTGATACCGGAATCGTCCCATTCGAACAATTTCTGCGGCATTTTAAGCTCAGTTTGCTCGACTTCTGCCGCTAATGCCTGATAAGTACTATTGGTTAGGTTGTCTGCCGTCAGGAGCCCTCTGCCGTATAGGGTTGGTGAGAATACGGTTTTTGCGATTTGGAGACTTGACGGTGTTTTTTGTGTATGATTTGGACCAGATAGTAGGTCATGGTAATAATCTAAGCCAACCAGAATGTGGGGCTTTTGATGCTCTCCACGGAGCTTTGAGTTGGCCGGATAGATGTTATTTTCCTTCAGGAATGTGGCTAATTTGGCATTTGGGAAGCCGTTCGTTAAAATAGGCTTTGTCCGAATCTTGAGCTCCATTTCTTCTTCAAAAGCCGTACTAATTCTTGGGAGCACAGTGTCACTTTTAAAGTTTTCAATATGGCCTCCGATGCCAGAAATAGTGCAAATCTCAGTGGAGTATTCCGGTAGTCCTAGTTCGTTGGCTAGGCTTTCTTCAATCACCGTTTTTTGTGCCCCGGAATCGAAAAAGAATAATGCATTGACGTATTCATGCTTTTCAAAGCTCCAGAGGGTGCCCTCGGCTGTCATCAAAACGATTTGTGATGAAATGTGATTTTGTCGTGAGATTGCACTTTGAGTTATCTTTGATTCAGTATGCAGGTTGTTAGTGAATGTGCTATGCTCGATACCGTAATTTGATCTTTGATCTATGTTTTGAGCGAGTAAGGCTCGGACGAGGTTTGTTCTGCATCAGTGTTCCTCTGATTAACTTTTCTGGGAGGGTCGTGGTGTCCAGGAAAGGTTGCCTCTTTTTTAATGCATAAACTAGGGTGATGATTCCGTCCACATAAGTGGCAGTCTGGTTTCTGGCAATAGTAGCTATTGTGTTTGCTTGAGCCACACTTCCAACATCTGTTACCTTCTTTTAGTGATTTACGGCGACTGTTCTGGTACGTCGCTGTTCGACATGCCATTGAGCTGTGGTTGTTTCTGCCGCAAAAAACACATTCTTCCCCAGATTGAGGCCGTGGAGTATATTCTCTCGCGGCAAGGTGCCTTTGTTTTCAAGTACCTGGCCAAATCTCTTTTCCATTGCGTGGCCAAGTCTTTTATCAATGTACAGCTTAGCGGCGACCCTCTTTCTTAAGATGACCCATTAAGTCTGCCGTTATTTGGTTAGTTTAAGATTGCCCTGATATCAAAACGGGCTTGACAATATCTTGAGGAAATTTGGCCAAGATGATTTCGCTCCATACTGGCTCGCAAGTATTCCGCACGTCGTACCCTGCGGATATCATTTGGTTGATTAGGACCTGAATTCTATCAAAGACGGCCGAGCAATCGTCTGCTGAATTGATGGCTGGTTTCAAAATAACCAGCGTTTGAATTATCTGTGTCCGATTTACGGGCTGATTATAGTATTTTCCTGCAAAGTTTGTATGATCCATTCATAGTTATCTGGAATAACTTGTATTCCTTTAATTGGGTTTTGAGCTCTACTTTTGAGGCTTTCTTGGAGCAAGAGAATTTTCTCCATAACATCTAGTTCGGCACTTTTATGGACAAGTGTCTCAAATACCGCCCAAAATTCGGAAAGTCTCCTGAATTGTTGTAAAATTTCGGCAGAGATGCTTGCGGAGGTTTTATGGACCTAGCAGAAGTTTTAGTGGCGGAGTCGGAGAATGGATGTCAAACTGGGCTACGTCACTCAGAAGGCGCAAGTTGAAAATAATGAAGCAGATAACCAGGAAGTCCATATTATCCCTGTAGAGTCAGGAATGGGACGTTGGACTTCACGTTGGATTCGCTCCGAATTAGGCCTGCTTGATGAGGCACTGTTTTCTGCACTCTCTGTGCTGACTCTACAGGGATAATATGGAGTTCCTGGTTATCTGCTTCATTATTTTCAATTTGCGCCTTCTGAGTGACGTAGCCCAGTTTGACATTCATTCTGTCTCTGGCACACCTCGCCTCATCGAGACGTGCCATCAACATGAAGCATAGGTCCTCAGATTCGGCCATTACTACGTTCAAGCCCGATTCCTCTTCTATCTGCTCTATTTCCGTTGCTAATTCTTTTCTTTCTGACTTTGACATACTGTTTTTGTATTCTTCTTTAATTTCTGTGTGCCTCTTTTCTAATTTCTCCTGGCCACACTTAAGTTGTTGTAGGCCACTTTGCAATAATGCTATTGTGAACCTACATTTCTCATAGTTCTCCTCATCTGTTACAGTAAAATCTGTTTTTGAGGTGTACTCCTTGTAACGGAGTACTGAATTTTTGAGCGTCTGAGCACTCAGGATTATGGGCACCTTTTGGAATAAAAGTGCCATTTTTTGTTTTACTTGTTATAGTTTTTCTTATTTGAAACACTTACTTGGTTATGAATACTCAAGCTAACTCCAGGTACTGTTTACGGGCGATTTGGTCTGCTTAATTTGCAGAGAAGTTGCTCCAGGTACTTTGACGGGAGACTTGTGAAACAATTGACTCAAGGTCTTAGATTTAACCTTATATGATTGTGCTCAAAGAGCTAGTCTCGACTACAGGCCTAAAAGTTGCGACGCTTTGACACGGGAGTATAGTGGCTACTTTAGGCCGATGCACCAAGCTGTTGCGGACGCTGAGAGTTAAGGTGTTGATTAACCCTTTTATGCAACACCTCGTGGTGGTTCAGTGAAAGTGATGCGAGGTAGACAGGAGCAATTCGAAGGATATTTATTGAGAGCACGAGCTTATCAGGAGCGAAGTAGTAGGAGCAGGAGTGGGCTTGTCCCCAAGTGCCCAGGTGGTCCGCCCCCACCAGACGAGGCCGAGAGGGGTTCATCGCCTGCGATACGCAGGCGATGATAGGGTGGACCAACAAAAGTAATGAAGGAGAGTCACCGGCAGTGGGCAGGATATTCTCCCAGTGGGCTTTACTTCCCAGAAAAGCTCATAATTCATCGAAGGCGTGGAGGGCAGAAAAAAAGTATTGGGCAAAGAATTATGCGTGCTAGGCATGCATAAACTTAGCGAAGTTTCGCCCATGGTGGGCGGGGCGTGCGTAGAAATGGAAGCTACTTATCAAAGACAAACACGATTGTGTTAAAAACGTTCCAAAGTGCGAGAAGAATGTGAAACGTGGTCAGATGTAATAGAAGAAATGTGTTCAAATGCATTGGTGGACACAATACGTGGGCGGAGCTTGGACCAAGATTCGTGACTCTGTTCAGAAACGTTCTAGAATGCGGGAAAAAAGTAATTAGAGGTAATACAAACGGTAATACAACAACAAACGTGGCCCATTTCTTGAAATGGGCGAGGTTTGCACGGAGTAGGTGGGATTGGAATCAAAAATTTTCAACACTATTCAGAAACATTCTAGAACGCGAGGAAAAAGTGGTTAGGGGTAATAGAACAATCGTGGTCAAATCTTCAAAGTAGGCGCGATTTGCATCAAAGTGGGCGGGGCCCAGGTCAAAAACTCATAACTTCGTTCAGACGTTCTAATACACGGGAAACGGAGGTCAAAGGTAATAAAAAAGCTCTTTCGACTTATCGAAAAGGGCCGGGCTTGCACGGAGCGAGGCGAAATAGAAAATTCATCTCAAAGTGGGGGGCTTGCACCGAGAAGGGTTGAGAGTTCATAACTCTCATAAAAGCGTTTAAGGATTGGTTAGGTGCACATAGAAGAAAGGTGATGAAACTACCGTAGTGTGAGGTGGCCAGAGACGGTGGCCAGAGACTATCGAAGAGATGTGGGCAGTTTCTCATAGTGGCGGAGGATTCCACTCGGATGGCAGCGGCTTAACTCTAAAAATGAAATTCGAAGGAGTTCTACGGTAAACTCGGCGACATATTTGCATGCGCCTTCAATATCGGCAGATTGTTCTTAGAAAAAGCGGAAGTGCTATCATATAGGTGTAAACCCTTCAGATACGACCGAAGTCATCTAAAATATTCTATTTAGAATCTTCCAGAAATCACTGTTTTCTGAAGACTCATACGCACCGCCGTATGCCTGTGCTAGACCTGTACACTCATTCAATGCATCAGCCTCTGAGTCTAATAAAGACTGTTAAACTAAACCTGACCACATCGGTGAGTACTTAGAAGATGTCATTATAGTCCTCAAAAAATCAGGATGAAAAATCTTTCAAAAATTGGCACTCATGGTTCCACTCAGTAGATCTTTCTACACAAGAGTACATGACTACAAAACTACAACAAACCTAACTTCAGCCCTTCATGAAATAAATTTCAAAAGTTCGGTACAGTAACATGTCCTCTCAAAATTGGTGTTCATAGTTCCACATAGTAGCCATATCGCCAGAGGAGTACGTACACTACGTGGACTCGAAGTCGTTGAAACATAGATACACCAGTCGCAGAGAAGAAATCGTGAAAGGCTCTACAGCAACACTCACCACACGGGTGCAAACAAGGTCCTTCGAAAAATAAAACGGATCTGAAGTCCTTTCAGAATCAGCATCCACAGCCCCTTCAGTAACCTCATCTGCATTGGCCTACAGCCCCTACATAAGAAGTAGAGCCATTCAGAACTTCAATACAGCAGCCACTGAAAACAACGTGTGAGAGGCCTAGGAGTACATCCACGACATGGACTGCAGAGGCATTCACATTTGGATATATCAGCCTCTGAGTATAACTTTTGGAAGTTCTTTACAGTAACACCGACCACACCGGTTCATTCCCCTGGTACTTGTAGAAACTTTGAAGATTCATACGCGGCATTTTCTCTAAATAAGTATTGTATAGTATCCTCAGCCAAACAATAGTAA